GAGGTTTTAAGCAACTCAGTGAGACCCTTTCCCTAAATAAAATGTTTTTAAAAGGGCTGGGGATGTGGTTCAGTGGTTAGTGCCCCTGGGCTCAATCCCCAGTACCAAAAAAAAAAAAAAAGTATTTGAATAGATATTTCTCCAAAGACGATATATCAATAAAGATATGAAAAGATGATCCTTAAAGAAATGCAAATAGAAACCACAATGAGATATCACTTCAGAGCCATGGGATGGTTATAACCAATGATAGAGAATATCAAGTATTGATGAAGATGGGGAAAATGTAAAACTCATAAACTGGGAGTGAGAATATAGAATAGTGCAATCACTTTGAAAAATAGTCTGGCTGCCCCTGAAATGGTTATAAATAGAGTTACCATATGACCTGGCAATTCTACTCCTAGGTATCTACCCAAGATAATGGAAGTCTGTGTCCAAGTTAAAGACTGCAGCTGAGCACTCAGCAGAATTGTTCATAATGTTCACCAGTGGAAACCACCCAAATGTCTATGACAGATGAATGGATAAGTAAATTGCGCACCCATACAATGGAATATTATTCAGAACTGAAACATGCCATGAGGTGGATGAACCATGAAAGCACTATGCCAAATGAAAGAAGGGAAGTCACTAAAGACCACGTATCATACAATTCCATTTATATGAAATGTCCAGAAGAGGCAAATCTATAGAGATAGAAAGCAGATTAGTGGTTCTGTCTGGGGGAGAAAACTGGGGACAGAGTGAATGGATGGAGTTTGGGGAATAGGTTGAAATGTTCTGTTTTCATTTTTTGATAGTTATACAACTCTGTGAATATATTAAAAACCATAGAATTATGTGCTTTAAATGAGTGCCTTGTATAGTATATTAATTATATACCAATAAAGCTATTATGTTTTTGAAATGAATATTTCAAAGGAATTATAAAGCCAGAGGGTCTCAGAATAAAGTCTCTTTTAATCAATCAATTGATAACCAACAGAAAAATCTTGGCAAGTTGATAGTTAATTCCTTTAGCCATTATGATCTAAGTTGTACATTCAAAGACTACTGATTCAAATATAGAAATTTTATTTGTTTATTTGGGTAAAATTTATGTTACCCAACAAGAAAATAAATATCTTATGAATTCCTAACTGAAAAATGTTTAAGAAGCCAAGAAGGGCTGCTGGCTTCAAGAGCTAGAAAGAGGGCCAGAAAATACCTCTGATATCTGAAAATAAGAAGGACCCTAACAATAGGCATGGAATTGTCTATAACAGACCAAAACAATCATGTCTCAGAGAGTGGCCATATAACTAATATACCATCATCTAGAATTGTTGAAATTAGCACAAGTCATAAGGTAATAAGAGGATCTACTGGCTAATATAAAATAAAGACAACAAAAGAACAAGACTTTTGGCTATTCTAGATGAGGTAAAGTTATTCCAGACCTAGAAAACTAGAATTGACAGCATAGATTTAAAACAAAACAAAACAAAAAAAAACACCACCACCAAGAATCATTGTTTTTTGTTATTGTTTTGAGGCTATGATTGCTAAAAAGATATGTTATCTTATGAAAATCCAGGTCCATCCAAGCAAAATCTATGTACACTAAGCAGCCCTCTCATCTATTTTTGTCTCTTGTATGTGTCCATTTTATGAAGTCCCTTCAATGAGCATTCTTCTTCTTCTTCTTCTTCTTCTTCTTTCTTCTTTCTTCTTCTTCTTCCTCTCCTTCTCCTTCTCCTTCTCCTCCTCCTTCTCCTTCTCCTTCTTCTTTTTCTTTTGATATGGGGGATTGAACTCAGGGGCACTGAACCACTGAGCCACATCCCCAGCCCTATTTTGTACTTTATTTAGATATGGGGTCTCACTGAGCTGCTTAGTGCCTTGCCATTGCTGAGGCTAGCTTTGAACTCACAATCCTCCTGCCTCAGTCTCCTGAGCCACTGAAATGATAGCCGTGTGCCACAGCGCCTGGCAATGAATAATTCCTCTAGTTCTCAGAGTAAGCCTCCCATGGCAGAGTTGTAATGAACAGCAAGATCCAGCTCCCAGCCCCACAGAAGTCTAGCTTGCATGACTCAACCCTCAGGAACTCATCACTTCTGAGGGAAATGAAAAATATCAAGTCAGGAAAGTGAAGAAATAGTGGTCAATACACTTGCTGATTATCAATGTCATTTTAGCATCACAGAGTCTGATAACTTGTCTTCTGTCAGACAGGCTAAATAGTAATGGAATGTTTGAGAACTGATGCTACCCTATATTTTTTAAATCATATAGTCATTGAGAAATAGAACTTTATTAAGTAGTGTGATTTTGCTTTGTTAAACTGTCTAAAATTGATTAGATTTCCACTCTGACCTTTTAAAGGCTTGTTAATCCTAACAACAGCATCGTATCATACTCATTGTTACTACAGGTATTCAAGTACATCGGAAATATAAAAATGTGACTTTTACCCAGGCCAGATAACCACACAAGACCAGATGGGAGAAAACTGGCTCGACATGGGCCGCCTGCTTTTTATTATTTAAGGAAGAGAATGTGCCCTGGAAATCAATACCAAGCCTTTCCTTATACATGACTATTTTTTCTTGAATAGCAGAGAAACTTGCAGTTTTCAACCCCAATATTCATTCATCCATTCACCTAACGTTCCTGAACACTCCCTGCAGCCAGGCACTGTGTGAGAGCTCAAGCTGTACTGGCAAACCCTAACATTCAAAATCACTCCTCTTCCCAGTTTTACCATCGGCATTACATATGCTAGGAAAAGCAAACCTACTTCTTATTTTCTTTATCCTATGACTTTATTACTCATCTTTACTCTTTTCCCAATAAATCCCCTGCCCTATATTTTAAGTAAAAATTAAAATATAACCATTTAATTGAAAAATTATTGCCATAATACTTGTACTCTGTTCCAGAAGATCATTTTCCAGATTTCTTCTCAGTATGTAGGAGAAATGAATGACCTGTGGTAAAAATTGGGAATGCGCCACGGGAGACTCCAAAATGGAACCATAAGGAAGAAATAGATTACACACTCACCAGTCCCCTTCATTACAATCTATCTGCAGAAGCTGACTAATTACTTAGGAGGGATAGTTTAGAGTCCATACACTTGGCGTGAAGCTGGATTAGATGGCAACTCTTTCTTTTTTTTTTATTGGTTGTTCAAAACATTACAAAGCTCTTGACATATCATATTTCATACATTCGATTCAAGTGGGTTATGAACTCCCATTTTTACCCCATATACAGATTGCAGAATCACATCGGTTACACATCCACATTTTTACATAATGCCATATTAGTAACTGTTGTATTCTGCTACCTTTCCTATCCTCTACTATCCCCCCTCCCCTCCCATCTTCTCTCTCTACCCCATCTACTGTAATTCATTTCTCTCTTTGTTTTTTTCCCATTCCCCTCACAACCTCTTATATGTAATTTTGTATAACAATGAGGGACTCCCTCCATTACCATGCAATTTCCCTTTTCTCTCCCTTTCCCTCCCACCTCATGTCTCTGTTTAATGTTAATCTTTTCCTCCTGCTCTTCCTCCCTGCTCTGTTATTAGTTGCTCTCATTATATCAAAGAAGACATTTGGCATTTGTTTTTTAGGGATTGGCTAGCTTCACTTAGCATAATCTGCTCTAAATGACTTATATATAATATGTCTAACTAAAAAGAACAAATTTAGGTCTTTCCATCTTCTAAAGTCTTCTTTAATTTCTTTCTTTAGCATTCTGTAGTCTTCACTGTAGAGGTCTTTAACCTCTTTCATTAAGTTGATTCCTAAGTATTTTTTTTTTCTGTTATTGTAAATGGGGTAGTTTCCTTGTTTCCTTTTCAGAGGGTCCTCTATATGTGTAACATGAATTGTAATGCATCCTGTTGTCATATGTAACAAATTAAGATTAAAAAAGAACAAATTAAAAAAGAGAGAGATCTAATATTTAGACCTAATCTAAACATCTTCTAGCCAAACTTCTCCAGAAATGCAATGCCGAATTCACAGGGCCAAAGGACAAAAGAATTCCAAGCCAAAAAACTGAAATAAAGGTTGGCCCACGACCTGTGAAATCCCTGAGGCCTTAACTGAAGCAGATTCACAATGATCCTGGATGGACGCTCTCCAATCCTGGGCACATGATGTTTCCCTGAAGAAAAGAAACCACCAGACAGTAGAGCTCACAACATACAAGAATATTCAATGAGGGCTGGGGATATAGCTCAGTTGGTAGAGTGTTTGTCTTACATGCACAAGGCCCTGGGTTCAATCCCCAGCACCACAAAAAAAAAAAAAAAAAAAAAGAATATTGAATGATGTGGAAAAACATTCCCAATTTATTACATGAAAAATTCATGACTCAAGTAGAACATACTTGAGTGCTAATATTCATGGGAAAAACTTGTGTGTGTATATGTGTATGTTAAATATATATAATACAAAGCTATATAAAGAAAAGGAAGAGACTGGAAGCTTACATACCAGAGCTTATTTATTAGCCCAACATAAGTGATTATTTATTATTTTTGCTTGTTTTTCTACAATGAATATGTGTTTCTTTTGAAATAGGAAAAGGTATAAAAAGGGTTACAAAATTTAAGTGATTAGGCTATGATGCAGAAGAGACAGAAATATTTTTAAGATATATTTTATGAATTTCAGCATAGAACAGGTTTATATTTTTAAAGAAAAACCCTCATACATAATTATGTGTGAAATAATTAACCTATAAAATGTATAACACATTTTAAAAAGTACAACAAGATATGAAACACTGACAAGTGAATTTCTATAATATATATTAATATTTTTTTAGTTGTAGGTGGACACATATCTTTATTTTATTTATTTATTTTTATGTGGTGCTGAGGATTGAACCCAGTGCCTCTTGCATGCGAGGCAAGTGCTCTACCATTGAGCTACAACCCCAGCCCTCCATCATATATTTATCTTGGCATGCAGAGTGCATGTGGGTTACATTACCTTTTCAATAATCTCATAGCATTCCTCCAGTCTTTGAATTCTGTTTTGTGAAATTGCACTAGCTTTTTTATACTCCTGCAACCAATCTTGGTAATCTGTCTCAGTTAAATCAGTATAGGCAATACAGAGAGTCCTCAGACCTGCAAGCAAGAACGTGATCAGCAGCCAGCCATCAGGCACAACTGGAGCATTAAGAAATAATATTCAAAAGCCTTTTAGATGTGCCTCACATGGACCTACCAGTCTGCTCCTGGCTCCCTTTGCTGTCTTTCCTCTGCTCCTCCTTACTCACAGTAACATCCTTGCTGGTCCTTTTACTTTCAGAGTCTTCCACTTTCTCTGGAAGCCACTTCATTTTCCCTTCCTTCCTTCAGTCTGGGCCTAAATCACCCGATAAACAGTGCCCTGCATCCTTCCCTGCTTCCCTTTTCCTGTTTTTTCTTCGTAGAACTTGGAATCACCTGACATTATCTACTTGTAAATTCCTTCAGAGCTTGAGCTCCACTATTATCCTAGATGTTTAGGAGAGTATATGGCACTTAATAGATGTTCATTAACTACCTGCTAAATAAATGAATGAATGAACAAAGGTTCAAGTTTTCAGTTACTGTCAAATAATCTCCAAAACAACAGAAAATTGACTTAAATCCCATTTTGTGGGGATATTTAAATTTTTTTAAAACCATACTATAATACTTTGCCAAGGCTATCTTGGCATCTATATACTTTAGGATTCCCTACAAACTGACTCTACAGAACACAGAAGTTGTTTCTCTGTTTTGTGTTCAATTATAATAGAGCTCCCACATGGTTGTATGTGGTACAGTCTGCCTACAGCACTTCTATATTTTAATAGCAATAAAAGGTCCAATGTACAACTTTGCAAACTACATCCATACTTTCAGGATGGACATATGCTTGGCTATATGAAGCAGCAGCTTATAAACTAAAAGGACAAAGTTAGCCTCAGCTTGCCAGATATTAGTAGCTTTACTCTTAAATGATATTTCATCTTGCTCTTCAAAGTCTTTGCCAAGCTTTAAGTGAATGTTGTCCTTGGTTGAAATTCACTCATGGAATTATATTTCCTTAAAAGATGATAAGTCAACATGAGAAAGACATTGGGAAAAATGATAGAAAAATGTCAGTGAGGTTGGCTTTTGAGTTATACATAGAAATAATTAACTACAAAATGTATAACACATATTGGAAAAGCCTGTGTTTTTCTCCATCTATGGGCCAAGTTCCTAATATAACCAGCTAAAAGGCAACACAGCTTGCAGAAATAGATAATGATGAGCTAAACATAATGAAATACATAGTAAGAACACACATTTTACTGTTTGCTCATAAGCACAAAAGTATTACAAGGAGAAAAAGGGGGGAAATAATAATGGTATCGTAGGATTCCTTGGAGAAACCATTTACTTTCAAGCAAGCAGAAGGCATTATAAAGTCACAAACATAAAAGAGCTCTGCATGCCACCTGTGTGCCTAACAAGCATCAGTGACATGCATTCAGGTTATAATCACAACCTTTAAGAACAACATTTTCAAAAGTAAATGGATTCTAAACAACCTCACTTACCTTCTGTGGCAAAAAGTTCCAAATGTTTTAATGTGTCCTCCACAAATAGGGAATCTTTTGAAAGTCTCTCATAAATCACTGTGTCCTACAAAAAATGATTCCCTGTAATTAACATCGAATATAAGATTTTAAGTCAACATTCTAAATAGTGCCTTATAATTTTATTGCTGAATCTAGTAGGTGTAAAGGAGTTTAAGCAGCCACAATTCCAAAAATAAGTCTTAAAGATCATCTCTCTTCACTTTGGATAAAACTAAGTCTGACCTACACATTGGAGAAGACAACAGGGAGAGTAATGAAAAAAAAATATCATTGTCTTACAAATCCTCAAATTTATCAAAGAAATTTTAACAATCTAAAAAAAAGCACACCTACCTGAAATAATGAGAAGAGTCAAATGCCACACTCTGCATGATTTGAATGCAAACTATTTCTCTAAACCTATAAAAGCAGCCCAAGTGGGTCTCTGTTCAACATACACCCCAAGTGATTAAAAACCAAGTATAGAATAATTATTTCAGGTAGAATTTAGTGATTCAGAGATCTTCCCTGTAATGTTCTAAGACTGAGAAAAACAATAAAAACATCTATTTTGTTTACTTACATATTAAAAGAAAATTCTTAACAAATAGAAAGTAGATCATTAGAAACATATAACAAAATGGTGAATATTTTATTCATCAACTTACTTGAATGGGAAGACTGTAAGTGATTGGAAGAATTACTTTCATGGAAAGAGAGGGGGAAGGCTGAGGAACATTAGGTATCAATGGACTGATCAGCTTCCATATGAATGGATTATATTTCTAGCCAATTATTTATATTTAAGAGATAATCAACTTTAAACAAAATTAATAACAATGTGGTGTGAGGTTTATAATATTTGTAAAATCAAAATGTCAACCACAATAGCACAGAGATTGAAAGCAAACTGAATTATAGTATTGTAAGGTTCTTATAACTAAAGTAATATAATATCACCTGTAGGTAAAATATAATGAATTTAATATGCCTAGTATAAACTAATAATTTTTTAAAGAAGAGAAATTATAACACAAAATATTCAAGTAATCCCAAAAAAAAGTCAGAAAAAAATCAGAATAAGGGGGAAAAATAGATGGAACAGCTAGGAAATAAATGTCCACATGATACATTGAAACCTAACCATATCAATAAGTACAGTCTAAAGATGATCTATATACCTCAGTTAAAAGGCATAAAATTCCAGAATGACTCAAAACTACAAGAACCGACTACCTGCTCCCCAAAAGAAACACGCTGAAGCATACTCATGTAAATTATTTAAGTGAAAAGAAAAAGATATACCATACTAAAACTAATCAAATGTGGGGCATTTATATTAATATCAAACAAGAGACTTCAGAATAAAAAATATTAAAAAGGATAAAGAATCATTTCACAATGTCAAAGAGATCAATTCATCAAAATGAAATAACAATCCCAAAAGTTTATGTACCTAATAAGAGCAAGTATAAAACGATTATAGTTTGGAATTTTGATATTCCTCTCTCAATTAGTTGACAGAACAAATAGTTAAAGCCAGTAAGTGTATGTATGTATGTATATGAGTGTGTGTATATGTATATGTGTGTGTTTATGTGCATGCGCCAACCAACTGTATCTAAATCCATAGCTACAAAACACCACATACCAAAACAGTCCAATACCTATTATTTTAAAGGGCACACCAAACATTTGACAACACAGACCAAAACCTGACCCATAAAACAACTCTCAATAAAATTTAAAAGATTCAAGTCATACCAAGAATGTTCTAAGAATACAATGGAATTAAATTATAAGTCAATCCAAGAAATATCTCCAGGAAATTCCTAAATATGTGAAGACAAAACACTTCTTCTAGTAATGACCTCAGCTACTTGGGTGTCTGAGGCAAGAGGATCACAAGTTTTGAGGCCAGCCCTGACTCAAAATAAAATAAAAAGGGATGGGGATATAGCTCAGTGGTAGAGCACTTGAATAGTATAAGTGAGGTCCTGGGTTTAAACCTCAGTATCACAAAAATGAAAAGCAGAAACAAAACAAAAAGCACTTAAAAATAACTCATGAGTTAAAGAAGAAACCAAAGAAAAATTAAAATATTTTGAGTTGAATGAAAGTGTAATATATCAAAATTTGTGAGCTGCTACTCAAGCAGTAGGTTTATAGAGGAGGTTTATAGCACTGAACATTTACATTAGAAAAGAAGACTCCCAAATCAAGTTGTACTTTTGAAAGCTAGAAAAAAGAAGAGAAAATGAAACAAAAATTAGACAAATTTATGGAAAAAAATAAAGAGTAGAAATCAGTGAAATAGAAAGTAAGAAAGCTTTCAAGAAAAATCAATAAGGTTAAAATCAGTTTCTTTGAGGAAAATCAATATATCTAATAAACTGTCTAGCCAGCCAATCAGGAAAAAGAGAGAAGATAAAAAATATCAAATGTATAGGTATGCCTGAACAAAATAGACCAATTTCTTGAAAGATGCAATCTGCCAAAACTCACACATGAAGAAATAGACAATCTGAATAGTCCTACATATATTAGAGAAATTGAACCAATAATCAATCTTCCAAAAGAGAAGCACTAGACATAAATTAATTTACTGGTAAATTCTACCAATTACTTATGTTCTTTATGATCACTTTCAAAGAATATAAGCTGAGGGAATATTACCTCCAAAAAATTAAGTTTTTTTTAACCAAGGGAGATCAAATATTTAAGAAGACTGTTCACCAAAGAAATAAGTGGATGGTATGCAAGAAAGTTAACATATCAGGTTCGAGACTGTTATCCTCAGAAACACCTTCTTATAAGGTTGGCCCTTGGCTGGCATCTAGGAACTTGGCTGGTACACAATTCACTAAACTGATATAAACTTTCCCTTTGTGACTCCATGGAAATTGATTCCTCCAGACTCCACCTATGTCTTTCCCCTTAAGATCTGTCTGTGCATTCTTACTGTGCTACTATTATAAATCTCAGCCATGCGGAAACTATATGATGAGTCTGATGATTCCTGCTAGTAAATCTCCATAGGAATGGTCTTGGAGACACCCAATACAGATGACAAATAAACCCCAGAAAAGAAGCTCAGTATCCCATCACAGTATGTAAATGTAAATAAAAGCCACAGTAAAATAAACAATTAAAAATAAAAAGGCTACAATTAAAAAGACTAACAACACAAAGTATTGACAAGGATTGCTGGTAGGAGTGTAACCACAGTTTGGTTAAACATATACCTGCCATGCGATCCCGTCATTTTACTCCTAGGTATATACATCCAATAAAAATAAAACCAATGAAACTTGCACACAAATGCTGATAGGACTATTATTTGTAGTAGTCAAAACTGCAAACAAAATATCCACCAACAGGTGAATGGATAAGCAGACTATGATACAGCCATCAAATGAAAATACCACTCAGCATCACAAAGAAGTGAACTACTGGTATAAGTTACAATGTGGACAAATCTCAGTATGATTAAGAATGCAAGAAGCCCAACAAACAGGCACACACACACATCCTTGTTTCATGGATGTAATATTTTAGTGAATGTAAATATATGATGACAGAAAACAAATCAGGATCAAAACTTAACAATTTGTGCACTTTAAATATACAGTTTATTTTACTTCAATAAACTTTAAACTTTAATCATACCTCAGTAAACTTATATGGTGGTAAATAAACATATAAATACTTTTTTAAAAAGATTTACAAAGGTTAAAAGAAATTCATGACATGTACCAAATCCAAATACTTTGAAGTGAAACTGGGATCAAAATTCCTATGACAAATTCTTGGCACAAACAATCTTATCATTAGTTCTCAATAAAAAAACCAAATGACAGCAAACATATCACTGACGTTAAGCTTAACAAGCATTCTGGTGTCTCACATCAGAACTCTGGCTGTGAGAAAGTTCTTTGGCTACCATGCAATGAAGTTTTAGTCTGTTGACAACCAAAAGCAACCGCAGAGAGAAAACACCATTTAAAGATATTGTTAAGTTGTGAACAACTTTCTACAAGTTGGTGGAGCAGGGACAGAAAAAGTTCATGTGAATTATGAATCCCAACACTTACCGCCCCTTTGCAGTATAGCCGAAGATGTTCTGCAGGAGTCCATACAATTATCGACATCCTTTTTCTATTGCTAAAACGATATGAAAATTATCATTATTTTCTTTAGTACATAACACAACTAAAGTCAAAAGAATTCCATAGAGTCCCCAGCTGACAATTGATGAAAAAATCAACATGTTTCTTCAATTGCCAGTCTCCATTTCCTTTTCTTTACCTAGTTCCTTAAACTAGGATCCTAACTGTAAATCTCTCCAACCTTCTACTACTACTACTACCACTCAGAAGTTACTCTTCATCTGCACCTCAGACCATTAATCTCCAGGATATATTTAAAAACTCAAAAAAGTTAACACCAAAAAAACAAATAACCCAATCAAAAATGGGCAAAGGAACTAAATAGACCATTTCACAGAAGAAGAAATACAATTGGTCAAAAAATGTATATATAAAAAAGTTCAACATCTCTGCAATTAGAGTGGAAATTAAAACTACACTGAAATTTCATCTCACTCCAGTCAGAATGGCAATTATCAAGAATATAAGTAATAATAAATGTTGATGAGGATGTGGGGAAAAGGTATACTCATACACTGCTAATGGGACTGCAAATTGGTGCAACCACTATAGAAAGCAGTATGGAGATTCTTCAGAAAACTTGGAATGGTACCACCATTTGACCCAGTTATCCCACTCCTCTGACACATCAGTGTTTACAGCAGTTCAATTCACAAAAGCTAAGCTATGGAACCAACCTAGATGCCCTTCAACAGAATGAATGGATAAATAAAATGTGGTACATACACACAATGGAATATTATTCAGCCTGAAAGACAAATAAAATTATGGCATTTGCTGATAAATGTAACTGGAGTTTATCATGCTAAGTGAAATAAGCCAACACCCCAAACCAAAGACCTAATGTTCTACCTGATATGCAGATGTTGACTCACAATAGGTGCAGGGAGGGAGGAATGGAGGTTCACTGAATTGGACAGGGGGGAGTAACAGGAAGGGAGGGAGAATGAAAATGGGAAAAACAGTAGAATGAATCAGACATGATATTCCTATGTTCAAATATGAATACACAACTAGTATATCATGTAAAACCACAATAAAGGGGAGTTATATTCTCTGTATGTATGCTATTCTGCTGTCATGTATAACTAAAACACATTTACTGTCACGTATTACTAAAATGAACAAATACAAAATTAAAAAAAAAATAAACTGATGAAGGAAGAACAAACCTGCCCTGGGCTTCATGTATTATTCCATCCTCACAACTCTTTGGTAGATCTTCCTGTCCCATTTTGCTGCCCTACCCTCACTGTCAACTTATAGTATCCCTAGGTTCTGACAGGGCCACTACAAGTTCACAGGGTAGAGACTCTGCTGTTGAACTAAACTCAACCAAAAGACAGTGCATCTTGCTTTATACACAAATCAATAACAATCTTCAGCTGTACTTTAATACAAATAATAGAAGAGACAAAAAACAAAATTAACAACCAAGCCTCAAGTAGAAACAGATAGAGGTGGGCCCCCAGGTCCCACCTGTGGTTATTTACTATTACAGCAAAAACAGACAATTAACATAAAAGCTGTCTATACCACACCTACAAAGGAATCTCAATCTAGATCACTCTAGCAAGTGAATACTGTGTCCAGAAAAGGCCCACACAATATCTCCCAGACTCAACATAGAAATATGAAAAATTCAAGATAACACAACACCTCCTCTGGTTTATAATTTACCAGCAATTGACTCCAAAGATATTGAAGTGGATTAAATATCAGATGAAGAATTCAAAAGAATCATTATAAAAATAATCAATGGATTCCAAGAGACCAAAGAAAAACAACTGAATGAATTAAGGAAGTCAGTATTGGATATGAATGAGAAATTCCATAAAAAAGATAGAAATATTGAAAAAGAACCAAACATAATCTTGGAAATTAAAGACAAAATAAATCAAATATATGTTCAGCTGAAAGTCTCTGAAAGTAATCCATTTTGAAGACGGAATCTCAGAGTTGGACCAAAAAATGGCTAGCCTTAATGGTTGAGTTTAGTTCAACAGCAGAGTCTCTACCCTGTGAACTTGTAGTGGGCCCTGTCGGTATCCAGGGATATCACAAGTTGACAGGGTAGGGCAGCAAAATGGGGACAGGAAGACCTACTTGAAAGAGTTGTGAGGATGGAATAATACATGAAGCCCAGGGCAGGTTTCTTCTTCCTTCATCAGTTTCCAGGATAAGCGCAAACTAAAAGAATTCATGACAACTGAACCAGCTCTATAGAACTTACTTATTGAAATACTCCACACAGAAGAAATTTAAAAAAACCCTCAGAGTTCATAAATGAAAAAAATCTCATTTTAAGAGTAGCTAAGTAAATGAGAAATAGGACAAAATTAAACATAAATAAATCAAAATGGCAGGAATTAATAAACATCTCAGGAATTAATAAACATCTCCTGGTAATAACTTTGAATGTAAATGGTCTCAATTCTCCAACTAAAAGATATAGGCCAACAGAATGAGTTTAAAAAGCAATCCTCAACAATATGCTATTTGTAAGCAATTCACCTTATAGGCAAGGACAGCCACATGATGAAAGTAAAAAGATGGAAATTGATGTATCATGCAAATGGAGCCCCAAAATAGGGAGGAGTAGCTACTCTCTTATCTTACAAAGTAGACTACAAACAAAAATTAATCAAAAGAGACAAATAAGGTCACTTCATACTGGTAAAGAAAAATACTGGTAAAGGGAAAAATACAAGAAGAAATAGCAATAGTAAATATTTATGCCCCAAATATGGTTTCAATTACATAAAAGAGACACTACTCAAACTGAAGTCTCATGCCCCAGCATAATAATACTGAATGATTTCAACACATCTCTCTCACTATTAGATAGATCATACAGACATAAATTCAGTAAAGACTCTTTAGACCTGAAAAATATTATAAATCAAATGCACTTAGCAGACAGCTATAGAATATTTCATCCAACAGATGAATATACTCTTCTCAGTGACTCATGTAACCTTCTCCACAACAAACCATATATAGGCCACAAAGCAGCTCTTAGTAAATACAAAATATAATTCTTTGCATCTTATCGGATCATAATGGATTGAAATTAGAAATCAACATGACAAAACTGTACAGAAACTAGGTAAATTTGTGGAGATTGAACATTACACTTTTGAATGATGAATAGGTGATAAAAGAAATTAAGGGAGAAATTTAAAAATTCTTAGATTCAAACGATGATAGTGATACAACATATTAGAACCTCTGAGACACTATAAAGGCAGTTCTAAGAGGACAGTTTATATGTGTATGTTTCTAAATAAGAAAATCAGAAAGATCCCAAATGAACAACCTAGTGATGCATCTCAAAGTCCATGAAAAAGGATAATAAACCAATTCCAAAACCAGTAGGAAGAAGGAAATAGTTAATATCAGAGCAGAAATCAATCAAATTGAGAATAAAAAATATACAGAAGACCAATGAAACAAGAGTTGGTTCTTTGAGAAGATAAACAAGATTGATAAGCCCATAACCATACTAACCAAAAGAAGAAGAGAGAAAACACAAATTCATAAAATTAGAGATGAAAAAGAAGGAATTACCAATTACAGAATCCAGTGGATCATTAAGAAATATTTTGAAAATTTATACTCCAATAAGCTGCAAAACCTAGAATAAATGGATACATTTCTGGACAAATACAATCTATGAAAACTGAATCAAAAGGACAGAGAAAACCTAAAGAAACCAACAACTAGCAATACATGGGAGAAAATCTTTGCTAGCTACTCTTCTGAAAGAGAAATAATATCTAGAATATATAAAGAATTCAAAAACTTAACAGGAGTCAGAATGGCAATGATCAAGAACACAAACAACAACAAATGCTGGTGAGGTTGTGGGAAGAAAGGAACACTCGGACATTTTTGATGGGACTGTGAACTAGCCCAACCACTCTGGAAAGCAATATGGAGATTCCTCAAAAAAATAGGAATGAATCGAATATACGACCCTACTAACCCACTCCTGGGTATTTTCTCAAAACATCTAAAATCAGTGTACTACACTGACACAGCCACATCTTTATAGCAGAAAAATTCATAATAGCTAAATTATGGATGCCCACTAACAGATGAATGGATTAAGAAATTGTGTATAAATACACAATAGAGTTCTACTGAACCATTAAAAAGAATGAAATTATGGCCATTAGCCAGTATATGGATGGAAATGGAGAATGAATATCATGCTAGGAGAAATTAGCCAAACTCAGAAACTCAAAAGTTTAATATTTTCTCTCATATGCAGAGGCTAGAGTAAAAGAAGTGAAAGGATGAGAGAAGGATAGGAGAGCATAAATAACCAAATATAAATTAATAGACAAATGAAAGGAAGTCTAGTAGAGTAAAGAGAATGGGAGAGGGGAGGGAAAATGGGAAGGAAAAAGGGGGATCATGAAGTAAAATCGATTTCTGTGTATCTATGAGTTGTCGGGATGAAACTGACTACTATTTATAACTATAAAGCTCCAATACTAATTTAAAAAAGGATATATAAAGCAAATTTCAAAAATCTCACATTTCAAAAAATGTTAAAAGAAGTACAAATGTTTAAGCCATGGAGTTAATATACTATAATTAATAAAAGTTATGGAAAGTCAAAATAAAAATAAAAAAAGATTTTGGAAAAAGCTCTCAAGGTGTATGTGAGGAGAAGTTGATGACAACTTTGCCAAGTCTTAAAAACTTGTTAAATTTCTTTTGGTTTTTTAAAAATGTCATTAGGAAACAAGTCTTTAAAAATATGATTTAAACAAAATCATTCAACTTTGTGAAGAGTTAATGCGTAATTTCATCATTTCCTTTCCTAAATTTTCTTTTTCTACATTAGAATGCTCAAAGAGTTCAAGAGATATGATTTCATAGGTCTTGCAGAAAAGTTCAATAAAATTAGTATTAGCATCACCATCCTCACAATGTACTCTGGGGAATTAGCTGTTGGTGCTAGAACAACACTGAAGTGTAAGAAGCAGGAAGGACTTGAATGCACATCACTGACCTTTAAAAAGAAAAAAATGAATTAATTTACTGTCTACTTTTAAAGAAACATGTTGGGTTTGTGAAAATAATTTCCAACATCTATCCTTCCACTAAATATTCACTGAGTATTTCCTGGACAGCAGACCCTACAGAAGGTGATCATTTCCCTTAGGTGCTATTGTCTAGTCAGTGAGATGGTAAAGTTATAACAGATCCAAAATCACAATTCTGACCTTGGCAGTGCTATCAAAGGGAGTTATTTGACTCTGTACACAACTTACTAAGGGGAATTTGGCCTAATGAGTTCTTTGCAAAAACCAAGAACTGAGCTAAGATTTCCACATAGAGGCTAACAAGAATTTCATGATTCTGTTTTGAAGTTTTGATTCACATTACCAAATCTCAATTGGAAAAGTTGTGGAAACTGCCTTTGAAAATACATGAACTGTATGAGAAGAGAGCTTACCTAGAGAACTCCAGGATGTTAAGGATTTCAAAAGTGTGTGTTTCTGTCATCTACAGGAAGGTAAAAAAAAATTATTAGAGGAAAAATGCATTCATCTTATAAAATAATCCATACCCCCAGTCACAAATGTTTTACTCTCCAAATACACATCTTTTTCAAAATATAAATTTTCTTGCAATTCTAATGAGATGACAATGTCCTCCTCTGGTAAGAGCATTATTTGCAACATGGGCAGTATTACCATGAATGTTTCTAAGGGTACCAAATTAGGACAAAAGCACCTCACTTTTCAATTTAAAATTAGCACTAGTATAAACATTTTATAAATACTTTCTAGAGGGCAGGGACACACATACACACGTAGTATAAGAGACAATCATCAGACAATAATGGAAAAATAAATCTTTTCAATAAATTGCAAAGAGCAAATGAAAATATTATTAATTAATTTGAAGAGATGGACAACAGTAAGAGGTGATATGATATATTTAAAGGTCTACAGCAATGATGCTTTCTTTTCTAAGTTTTTCAGTTACAGTCTCTTGAGTTCTAATAGCCAAGATCAATTTATCTTTGAATCTACCAATTCCTAGCATCACCAATAAGGCAGTGATGTGTGGCAGAATTTCAAATAATTTCAGAGTTGTCCATGTGCCAGGTACTCTAGATATAATGATTAATTAATTTTTTAACCAAAGTTGCAAACACCCCTAACCATCCCATTATCACTAGGGGAAAAATCAGCATGTTGGCTACTATGTTTCCATTATTTCAATTTTCTCCCACAATATCAAAGGTTCTTGGTGAATAATTATCAAACAGAAAAAGGATATATATATATATATATATATATATATATATATATATATATACACATACACACACACACACACAGAAAAAGGATGGATATATATATATATATACACACACACACATACACACACACACACTAAAATGAAAAATCAGTATACTAACAGAATTCACAAAAAATATTTAAACAATGTAAATTTCACATAGAAAATCATAGTACATCTCTCAAAGTTTTGATGATTTTAACTCTTAGGAATAGCTCACTTAAACTGTGTACTTTCTATGTGCCAGACACTAATCCCAGTCACTCTCTATGTATTAACTCATCTAATCTTCACAAACCCTGCATAAATGCACAATAATAAGACAAGACAAACTTAGAGAAGCGAAAGAAGGTCCCAGAGGCCAATGTTTGGAAAGGGGTGAGATAAAGAGGGAATCCCAGAATCTTCAGGATTTCTACTCTGAACCATGCATGGTACACCTGTACTTCTATTGAAAATCAGGAGTCTGTAAAACATTCAAAAGTATTCAGTGTCATACTCACAACTTCTATGGTGACATAATAAGGTGTTCTTGTGGTGAAAACAAAGCCAAGTTTTTTTGCTCCTTTCACTAAAGCAGCTTCATCTGTCAATAAATAGTCCATATTAATAGGCATCAAGCAATATTCATACCAAATTTAATTTAATACAGATTTGCATTCTGCAATACTAAAATACTTTGACATATTTTAAAGTTGACTTTTTTGATCCAAGTGTATTTATCTGTCCTTCTAGGTACTGGTGCTCATGAAGAAGAAATCTGGTTAAATAGGGCCTTTTTCTGGACTAAGATGAATTTACCCAGCTAACAGCACTACTACACATAATGATTTTGCTTGTTCTCAATGACATTAATAGTACCCTCATAAAATATTGCAGGGCCTTAAATTCACCTCTGTTTTATTCCTGGTTACGACCAAAACACTGCTCAGCTCTCCAGGCCCAAGAGCCCATCTTGGCCTCTTTACAACAATCTTTGAAATGAGAGACAAGGAGCCCCCGGGTTGTAGAATGGCTCTGAGCTGCTCTGTTCTGTGTATCCCTACTAGTGAGAATTTCAGGGAAAGAAGAGGTAGGAATAATGGATATCAGCAGCAGCAGCAACTTCTCCTGAAGCCTCATTACCCACTAGGCACAATGAGGTGCACACTTTCTTTGCACATGACACCTACCTGGGGAGGAAGCCTGGTAGAGTATATCATTTCCACATCTCTCAGGAATAACTGTATGGCACACACATAAGAGGGTAAGGAATTCCTTAATGTATTCTGATGAGGGCTAGAAAAAGATGCAGAGATAATGAGTCTCCTAAATGCCAGCCATGTGGAAATTATACAGAATCTGCAATATTGTACCAACTGAGGTTTAAACCTCAGGAACACACAAGGCAGGCCCCAGCCAAGAAACATCATGGATTCAAAAAGTGTTTGTGGGTGGCTACAGAGTCAGGGACAGTAGAGGAGGCTAGGTAGACATCAGAATGGCCCTGCCCTCTTAGAGCTTCTGTCCTCCTGGAGGAGATAGAATTTCTTGAAGCTGGAGGGAAAAAAACAGGGCCTGTGACAGAAGAAGAGGAGTCTATTTCAGACAGGTGGCCAGGGAATCTAAGGAGACAGTTAAATTAATATCCAAACAAAAAAGGTTTATTCACTGTTTGTATAGTTGTCACTTGTGGTGGCCTGTACCTGACATAGGACACAGCAAGTTCAGAGGACCTGAAGCAGAAAGCTTCAGCTTTGTGTGATTGTGGAGCCTCCAGACAAGTGTGACCTTTAGCACCTTGAGCAAAAGACGGTGCCAAAGAATGAGGTTGGAGAGAAGACCATGGTCATGAGTTTGGATTTTATCCTTAGTGCAGTGCCAGTATTCAGAGGGTATTTAAGCAAAGAATAAACAGGTATGGATGTATGCTTTAAAAGATCACTTTTTTATAGAAGATCACGATTTCAAATCTAGTATATCAGTGTGTTGGAATAATGAAGATATTGATGGCATGCAATACAAAGAAGATAGTTGAAAAATAGATAACTACATAGTAAAAGGTCTTGTATGATGTTTAAATGCACACACAATAAAGTCAGTGTTTAGCTCATTATATTGGTGCAAAAAATTCCTTTGCACCAGAAATTCTTGGTTGATAGATCATTTTTTTCCCAAGACTCTCTCCTACTGGGTTCAGAAAATTATATTTCTTTTAGGAAATTATATGTAAGTTTTAAAGTTATACAGCATTATCATGTCCATTTTGAAGGGAAAAATAGCAGACTTACATGACCATCCTCAAAGTTCTCCAATAATTTAGGGTCATTAAATTCACAGAAAGATGCTCTACTATGAGGAAGAATACAGAAGATTACTTTTGACCAGAAGTCCCTAATGGCACCAGCCAATACTCAAAAGGAGAAGGAACTACACAGAGTCTATAGAGCTGTAGTAAATATCTAAAATTCAGTTAAATGATACATCTTCCCAGACATCAAGTGCAAAATGGCATTAGAAATACCTACACTTGTACTGAAAACTGTATGCAAGTTGAACATCCCTAATTAAAAATTAAATCTAAAATCTGAAATGCTATAAAATCCAAATTTTTTTGACAACCAATGTGATAAAACAAATGGAAAATTACAAACCATGAAACCTTCCTTCATGAACAAAATTATCAAAAATATTGCATAAAAATTACAATTAAGCCTGTTATGGTGGCACACACTTGTAATGCCAGCAATTTAGGTGTCTGAGGCAGGAGGATTGCAACTTTGAGGCCAGCTTCAACAATTTAGTGAGGCCCGAAGCAATTATGCAAGAACCTGTCTCAAAATAAAAAATAAAAAGGGCTTGTGATGTAGCTCAGTGTTTAAGTGCCCCTGGGTTAAATCCCCAGTACTGGAAAAAATATATATAGTTAAGAGGATTAATTTCTAGTGTTTTATTTCATAGTAGGGTGACAATAGCTAACAATCATTTATTGTATATTTAAAAATAGCTAAAAGAATATTTTGAACATTCTCAACACACACCCACAAAATAAATGAAATGATGGTTATATAAATTACTTTGATTTGATCAATGTACATTGTACACAGGTATGAAAATATCACACTATAACCCATAAACATGTATAATTATTATATGTCAATTGAAATCTAAAAATCTGTATAAAATCACCTTCAGGCTATGTGTATAAGTTGTATATAGATATCTCATTACATATACTCAAATATTGAAAAACATCCAAAATCCCAAACATTCCTGGTCCCAAGCATTTCAGGAAAGGGATACTCAATCTGTTAGTTAAAAATAATTTGAGACAAATTAAATTGAGACAAAGTAACTTCAAAAGCAGTAAATTAAAGGATAAATTCTAAGTTTTTTGAATATGATATGGGAGAGATCTACCCAGAGAGCTTTCTGGAAGCTGCCATTTGAGGTCTGGACAAGAGGAAGGTGATACAAATCAATACGCTATTATTCATAAAAGTTGACTTCAGGGAAAAGGAACAAAGGCAAAGTAGGAAAGAAAAATGTTCATACCTGAGGTTTTCATTACCATCATTAGTATTGTCTGAATGATTTCTAAGAGAAAATGAAGGAGGAAATATACATGTTACAAGACTATCGGTATAAAACTCTTCAAAAATTCCAACCATGTATAAAAGCAAATATAAACCATATTTTTAAATAACCACAAGCTTTCATTCAGGCTCTATTAAGTTTCAGCATCATTCAGATACAACTATACTATTAGAAATTCAGATAAGTCTTAGAATAAATAAAAGCTAACTCATTTTAAGAAAAAAATGATAAGAAGAAAATGGTGGGTAACAGCCTCCTGCATAATTCATGCCCCCTGCTTGGATATACACAATGGAATATTACTCAGCATTAAAAGAGAATAAAATCATGGCATTTGCAGGTAAATGGATGGAGCTGGAGAATATCATGCTAAGTGAAGTAAGCCAATCCCCCAAAATCAAAGCCAAATGTTTTCTCCAATAAGTGTATGCTGATCCATTAATGGGGGTAGGGAGGGAGCATGGGAGGAAAAGAGGAACTTTGATTAGGGCAAAGGGGAGGGAGGGGAAGGGAGAGGGTATGGCGTAGGAAAGATGGTGGAATGAGATGGACATCATTACCCTAGGTAACATGTATGAAGACACGAATGGTGTGACTCTACTTTGTGTACAACCAGAGATATGAAAAATTGTGCTCCACTTGTATACTACGAATCCAAATGCATTCTGCTGTCATGTATAACAAATTAGAACAAATAAATTTAAAAATAAAATAAATTCTTGTTGAGCTGCTGGAAGATGAATTGGATCCCAACAAAGAGAAAACGGTCAGCAGGAGTGGAGGAATATAGTGAGTTTTTGTTATTTGTTTCTGTTTGGGGTTTTTTTGTGGTTTTATTATTTGTTTTAGAAAAATTACAGTTTTGTTTTTTTTTTTTTTTTTTTTTAAGTGGAGTATTCTACAACAATTCAGGGCATGCCTGGCTGCTTAGTGGGGGAGGGGAGAACCCTTTTCAAGTGCTGAAAGCAAAATGGCAAAGGGAGGGAGGGGACCATACGGATCACAAGAATTTTTTACATCACCATCATATAGATATGCTGTTTGAACATAAAGGAGATTTAAATGCAGTGCAACAAACTGGGGTGACTCGGGATCAGAGCTGCTGGAGAAAAATGAGAGCTGGAGAAAGTGAGAGCTGGGACCAGGATCCATCTTAAAAGGGCAACTTTGGGCACTGAAGAGCAGGGATCACCACACTTTTTCTACGCTGTTTTCAACATCCACAAGATCCAACATAGACTCCATGAGTCTCCATCTTTTTTCTTTCTTTTTTCTTCTTTCTCACTGCAAAGGTAGGTTCTGAGCCCAAAAATCAGTCCAGGAACAGGTCTGTGGAAGAGCCCTATTGGGAGTTCTGACTGAAAGGCTGAATCATTGGGTGGCCTAGTGCCAGACAATTCCTAAAAACAGAAGCCACAGTCTGGCAGTTTGGAAGGTTCAGAGTTTTTGAGGGGGAAATCTATCGGAGCCACGTTTGCTACTCAGGCAGACAGCAAGAGCTGCTGTCGAGGCAGAGCTGCAGGCATGCACCTGCAAACCAGTTCATAGTGTGGGATTTTTAGAGCTGCCTACCTGGGTTATCTACTAATAGTCCAGCCCAGGCAATACACCACAGCCAATATCCTGGGACTGACCCTTAGAGACTCTCAGACCCATTCTAATGCCCTGTAGCAAGAAAAAAAAGCAAGCCCTAATTGTGAAAAATTATCATGGGGTTAACAAGGACTTATCAGCAAGTGAGCACACCTGCTGGGATTTACAGACTCTCTGGGTCACCCAAGGTCCCATCTTTTCTCCAGTTGATGGCAGGGGGCTCTCATTTAAACTGGGCAGGTGGATCTCTCAGACCAGCAGAACCACTACCATTAAAAAAGAAGGAATAGTTATTTTCAGCTAGTCCCTGGGACAAGGTGTTTACTCAGAACACAAACTGCTCTTCCAGCCTGGGAAAGAGCAGGCCACAAGGCTGAAGACACTCAAAAGTTTCCATCCAACAATCCTACCGGCTTTTAGATGATCCATTAAAGCTCTGTAACCACATAAGCTCATACCAAAGGCAGACAAATGGACACCAGCATAGAAAAATGCAAGAACTTGAGTGCAGGGAAGCCTTTGAATCAAAAGTCTGATGTAGAAAGATCTAATAATCTAAGATCTAATAATAAACATACAGGTGAGTCACTCTGAGGTTCCACTATAACCTTCTATATCTACTACACCTCCCGATAGCAGACAGTCCAAACCAGGAGGTCTCACTAAGAACTACCTTTATCTCAGAAACATCAGCAAGGAATAAATTTTGATTCCTTGCTGTTAGTCTTTATTAGACTGGTATCATTTTATGTATTAATTTAATGGATTCCCTGACTCTATTGGAAATTGTATTACTTAATCCATAATCTTATGCATTTTTATTGATAATGTAATAATGCGATAATTGGACAGATCCATACTACCAGGATTTTTTGTTGGTTTGTTTATTTTTTGTACCAGGGTTTGAACCCAGGGGCACTTAACCACTGTGCTACATCCCCAGCCCTTTTTAATTTTTGAGCCAGGATCTTACTAAGTTGCTTAGGGCCTCACTAAGTTGCTGAGGCTGGCATTGAACTCACCATCCTCCTGCCTTAGCTTCTGGGGTCACTGGGATTACAGATGTGAGCAACAGTGCCTGGTTGTTTTTTATTTTTAATTATACTCTACTCATTTTTTCTTTTTCTCTCCTTTCTATTACCTCTCTTGCCTACCCTCTTTCCCCACTTCTTCTTTTTTTTAAAATTTATTCTGCTGTTGTTACATGATAATTGATTGTATTTTGCTTAATTTTGGCACAAGGCCTCTGAGCTGCATCCACAAATCCCTTTGCTTTTAGTGTTGAGAAATATTCCATTCAAGGAGAGTTTTCCTAGGTAGCTGGAATGGTCCTTTGCCTTGTAATCAAACTGCCTTGGCCCTCTGGACAGCTAGGGTTCCAGAGGGGTGTCTTTACCCATGGCTGTTTTTTTAAATTTATGTAAAATTTTGTACTAATTGGACCTATTCATTTTGTTTCTCTTCTTACTCACTTCAACATTTATCTTATACTGTCACCCTTTCTTTTCTCTCTCATCGCTTCTCCATTTTTTGCCTCTATCCTTGTACTTTCCATACCTGACTTATTTTCAAATTTTATATTTTTTTGTTCATGTATATGAATGTATGTTATTTTTATTTTTTGAGGGTGTGTTGGGATGGGTTCTGCTTTTGGGTCAGGTTTTTCTTCTGTTGGTTTAGTTCTTTAGTTTTTCTGTTTTTGTTTTGTTTTAGTTTTTTTATTCTTTATATTTTTGTATTTACTTATTTTTTACACTGCTTTGTTCTCTATATTCTAGTTTTCCTTTTCTGTTAGGTTAACATCAGTGATTTTGGGTGTTTACTTTTTAATGGGAGGTTGCTTGTCATTATTTTTTCTGGGTAATGTATTAATTAAATTTATATAATACATTTTACATCTGTTTTCTACACTGACAGCCTCTCTTTTTTCATATACTCACATTTTAATTTTCTGCCTTTCTTCCTTCCCCCTTCCTATTATTTTTCTCTGTTTCTCCTTTCTTTTTCCTTTTATCCAGTCACTTTTTTTCTCTTTCATTTTCATGCCCTATGTAGTATAATAACAATCCCATTTATTTAATAAAATTCTTTCAACCTATTAGCATACTATCCCCATCCAACCACTTTAGATGTAGTGGAGTTATAGAAAACTCTTTAACAAGTTTAAAGACTTATTAGTAGATGATTTGCTCTTTTGTATTTGCAATTACAGGCAATAGTAAGCTCCCCAAATGTTTGGAAAGTTATGGATCAAAATACTGAAAACATACTGACTGGACTCTTGGAACACACAGTAAAGTGAACGCAGCCTACTGAAGAATATTCCATTCAAGGAGAGTGGCAAATCTCAACACAGAAATACAGAAAACATGGGAAAGCAAGTAAATAAAATGCCTCCAAAAGTCTTTAACCCCCAAACAACAGAATCATCATTGAAATGAATGAAATGCCAAAGAATTTTAAAATTTGATGAATAAAATGATCAAGGAAAAAGAAGATTCAAGAAATGAACTAAGAGATAATATAGGTTATCATATGGAAAATCATTTCAATAAAGCCATAGATAGTCTGGAATAAAACAAATAGGTATGCTAAAAATAAAATAATAAATCAAATTAGATTAGATCATACAGGAGGCAGATTTTCGAGCCTCAAAGAAAAGGTATATAATCTTTAAAATTTGGCAATAAAAGTGATAAAAGATCATGACAAGAATATTCAGGATTAGACAGCATGAACAGATCAAATATGAGAATCACTAGCACTGAGGAAGGAAGCGAGATCCAACTAAGGGTGTGCAAAGCCTTTTCGGTGAAATAATTTCAGGAAAGATTCCAAATCTTGGAAATGACATGGCTTTGGAAACCCTAAATAGACAAGATCAAAAATAATCCTAAGACACATTATAATTAAAATGTCTAATATAAAGAACAAGAAGAGAATTTTAAAAGCTTCAAAAGGAAAACAGCATGTTTTAGTCAGCTTTTTCACTGTTTTAAGCAAAAAGCCTGACAAGAACAATTAAAGGAGCAAAAGTTTATTTGGGAGCTCACAGTTTCAGAGGTCTCAGTGCATAGATGACTAATTCCATTGCTCTGGACTCAAGGCAAGGTAAAACATCATGGTGGAAGAGTGTGGTAGAGGAAAGTGGCTCAGGATATCACACCAGGAAGACTCCTCTTGCCAAGGACAAAATATATACGCTAATGTCATGCCCCCAGTGACCTACCTCCTCCACTCACACCCTACCTGTGTTCAGTTACTAATCAGTTAATCACTAGCAGGGGATTAATTCACTGATTTGATTAACGTTCATGACTCAATCATTTCATCTCTAAACATTCTTGCATTGTCACACACATGAACTTTTGGGGGGACACCTCATATGTAAACCATAACACAGTAGGTTGCATTTAGAGGCAAACAATGGGAATTAGCACTGATCTCTTGGCCCAGATTTTAAAAGCCAGGAGAGTTTGAATAACATATCACAAGTTTTGAAAGATAATGATTGCCAACCAAGACTGCTTTATTCAGTAAAGCTATCCTTTGGATTTGATGAAATAACGACCTTTCATGAAAACCGAAAATAAAAGAATTCATGACTACTAAATCAACTTTACAGCAAATATATATTTCATGCAAAGGAAATGCAAAACTTACTCAAAGAAAGCAAATAAGTGAATCTTAGTAGAAGAAGAGCTTAGTAAAGGGAAGCTTGAATAAAACATTTAAATAAAGATGACAAGAGGTAATAATCACCTCTCTATAACAACTGAATGTAAATGTCCTCAAGACTTTAATTAAAGACATAGATTGACAGAAGAGATTAAAAAACAGGACTAAACCATATTTTGAGAGACTCACCCGCCAGGCAAAGACACCCACAGGATGAAGGTGAAAGGTTGAAGAAAGATATACCATGCAAATAGAGACTAAAAACAAGTGAGACTCTCATATCTGACAAAGTAGACTTAAAGTTAAAATTAATCAGAAGAGACAAGGAAGTTTGTTCCATCCAACAAAAGGATGTAAGAATTATAAATATTCATGTCCCAAATGCTGGTGCGTCTACATACACACACACACACACACACACACACACACTCACACACAAAATTACTATCAATCAACTGGACCTAACAAACATCTATAAAATATTTCACTGAAATGAATTCACTTCATCTCAGCATCAAATGGAATCTGCATCAAAATGGCCCATGTTTTAGGACACAAAACAACATTTAGCAAATAGAAAAAATAGAGAGAATTCTTGCATTTTATCAGATCATAATGGAATTAAATTAGAAATTGATAACAAGATAAAAACAGAAACAATTTTAACACATGGAGATTGAGTAATACACATTTGAATGAGCAATGGATTGGAGAAAAAAATCAGGGCAGAAACAAAGTTCTTGGAAACAAACAAGAACAGATATACAACATAGCAAAATCTCTGGGACAATATGAAGGCAGTTCTAAAAGGAAAGTTGAATCACTACACTAAAAAAAAAAAAGATCTTACAATAATAATCTATCATTACACCTCCAAGCCCCAGGAAAGAAAGAAAACACTAATTCCAAAATCAGTAGTAAACAAGAAATAATTAGACTCAAAGCTGAAATAAATAAAATTGAAAATAAAAAACAATATAAAGGAACAATGCAACAGAGTTGGTTCTTTGAAAGCAAGATTGATAAATCCAAAAGAAAGAGAATATCCAAATCAAAGTTACTGACACTTTTGATATCCAGAGCATCATTAGAAACTGTTTTGACAATTCATACTCCAATAAACTGGAAAATCTATATGATATTGACAAATGTTTAGAAACATATGACTGACCCAAATTAAAACATGCAGGTATAGAAAACAAAAACAGACTCATATCAAGCAATGATATTGAAACAATGTTTTAGCCAGATTTTCATCACTGTGAACAACAGACCTGACAAGAACAACATAGAGGAGGAAAGCTTATTTAGGGCTCACAGTTTCAGAGGTCTCAGTTCTTGTTCCAAGGTGAGGCAGAACTTCAATGCAGAAGAACATGTGAGAGGAAAGCAGCTGAAAACATGGCAATACAGAAGCAAAGAAAGACCTCTGCTCTCTAAGGACAAAATATAAACCCCAAAGCCACACCTTGTCTCTTCCAGCCACACCCTACATGCCTATAGTTATTGCCCTATTAATCCACAGCAATGGATTAATGCACTGGTTAGGTTAAAGCTCTCATAACCCAATCATTTCACCTCTAAACTTTCTTTTTTTTAATTTTTTTTTAGTTGTAGATGGACACAATACCTTTGTTTATTTTTATATGGTGCTAAGGATCAAACCAGTACCTTCCACATGCAAAGTGAGCACTCTACCACTAAGCTACAACCCCAGCCCTCACCTCTTAAGCTTTCTTGCATTATCTTACACATGATCTTTGGGGAGACACATCATATCTAAACCATAGAAAACAGCAACAAATAAAAGCCTAGGACCAGATGGATTCTCAACTGAGTTCTACCAAACCTTCAAAGAAGAACTAACAACAATCCTCCTCAAATTATTTCATGAAATAGGAAGGGAGGGAACATTCCCCAATTTATTCTATGAAGCCAGTATCACCCTGATACCAAAACCAGACAGACACATAAGAAAGCTAAAGATCAACATCTCTGATGAACATAGACACAAAATTCCTTCATAAAATATTGGCAAACTGCATTCAAAAACACATTAAGCAGAAAGTACACCATGGCCCACTGAGTTTTATCCTAGGGATGCAAGATTGTTTTAATATACAGAAATAAATAAATGTAATTAATCACATAAACAGAATTAAGAACAAAAACACAAGATCATCTCAATACATGCAGAAAAAGCCTTTGACAAAATCCAGCACCCATTTATGTTTAAAATGCTGGAGAAACCAGAGATAGAAGAAACTTTCTCAATCTTATAAAGGCTATATGAAAAACTCAAGGCCAACATCATTCTGAATGGAGGAAAAAATGAAAATATTTCCTCTAAATTCAGGAAAAAGACAAGAATGTTCATTCTCTCCATTTCTATTTGGTGTTTTTAAAACTCTAGCCAGAGCAATCAGTTAAGAAAAGGAAATTAAAGGGATAGAAATATGAAAAGAAGAAGCTAAATTATCTGTTTGCTGATGACATGATCCTATTCCTAGAACCACCCCCCTCAAAAAAACCCACCAGAAGACTTCTGTTGCTGATAAACAAATTCACCAAAGTAGCAGGCTACAAGATCAGTATACAAAAATGATAGCTTTCTTATACTCCAGTGAATCTGTTGAGAAACAAATCAAGAAAACTTCTGCATTCACAATATTCTCAAAAAAGTAATACTTGAGAATAAATCTAAGTAAAAGAGGTGAAAGACCTCTACAATGAAAACTATAGAAAACCAAAGAAAGAAATTGTTTAAGACCTCTGAAGATGGAAATACCTCCTATATTCTCGGGTATTCAGAATTAATAATGTCAGAATGATCATACTACCAAAATGTTACACAGATTTAATGCAATCCCCATCAAAACATCAGTGACAGCCAGACGTGGTGGTTCATGGCTGTAATCCCAGTGGCTGGGGTGGGAGGCGGGCTGAGGCAGGAGGATCACAAGTTCAAAGCTAGCCTCAGCAAAAGCAAGGCACTAAGCAACTCAGTGAGATCCTATCTCTAAAATACAAAATAGGGCTGGGGGCGTGGCTGAGTGGTTCAGTGCACCTGAGTTCAATCCCTGGTACCAAACAAACAAACAAACAAAACACCAATGACATTCTTCAAATAACCAGAAAAAATAATCCCAAAATTCATATGGATGAATAACAAATTATATACATCTCAGATTAGCCAAAGCAATACTGAGTAAGAACAGCAGTGCTGAAGACATCAAAATACCAGATCTCTTTTATGACCAAAGCTGTGGTTACAAAAATAGCATTGTATTGGCATCAAAACAGGCATGAAGACATAGAGACATATCCACAAAGACACAGGAAAGACAATAGTGCAAAAAAACATGCTGGAGGAAAGAAAATGACCTTTTAAACAAATGATGCCAGGAAAACTGGATATCCATATGTAGAAGAATGGAACTGTAGATCTCTTGTTTCTTACCTTGCACAAAAATCAGCTCAAAGAGATCCAAGACCTAACAATTAAACTAGAAACAATGAAACTGCTAGAAGAAAATATAAGGTAGGCACTCCACATACAGGAACTTTCTTAATAAGACTCCTAAAGCACAAAAAATAAAACCAAGAATCAACAAGTGGAATAGCTTCAAATTAAAATGTTTTCGAATAGTGAAGGAAACACGAGTATGAAGAAACACCCTACAGAATGGAACAAATTTGCCAGCTACTCCCCCAACAGAGGATTAATAGTCAGAATATATATAGAAAATATACAGAATATATATAGAATATATATAGAACTCAAAAAAACTTAGCACAAAAAAGCACCAAATAACCCATTCAAAAAATAGGCAAACTAAAAAGACATTTCTCCAAAGAAGAAATAAATATAGTTTATAATATACAAATATATAATATATACAATATAATATGTATAACATAAATATACAAATATATTTTAAAATGTTGAACATGTCTATCAATCAGGGAAATACCATATCAAAACCACACTGAGATTTTATTTTACCCCAGTTAGAATGGTAGTCATCAAGAATATAAATAATAAATGCTAGTAAGGATGTAGGGGAGTATACTCATACATTTTTGGTGGAACCACAAATTATATAACCACTTTGGAAAGCAATATGGAGATTCCTCAAAAAACTATGAATGGAACCACCATATGACCCATCTATCCCACTCCTTGATATTTATCCAAAAGAACCAAAATCAGTACCCTATATGCAACCAAATTTTATAGTAACACAGTTCACAATAGAACCAGCACAGATGCCCATCAATAGACAAATGGATAAAGAAAATGTAATATGCACAATGGAGTTTTAGTCATCCATAAATAATAATGAAATCATGCACTTGCTGGTAGAATGGACCTAGAGAACATCATACTGAGTGAAATAAGCCAGACACTGAAAGTCGAGGGTCAAATATTTTCTGTTATATATTGAAACTACAGAGAAATAAAATTTTTTAAATGTGTGTGTGTGTGTGGGGGGGGTTCCTCATAAAAATAGAAGGGAAAATGGTGGAGTACTGGAAGGGGAACAAAGAGGAGGAGGAGGTATGTGAAATAGGAAGAACAGCAGAATGAAATTAATCAAATTAGGTCATATGCATGTATGAACATACCACAATGATTTTTGCTTTTATATATAACTGCAGTGCACCAATTTACAACAGAGTATGACAATAAAAACACTTACCCATAAATTATGCCTGCAATGGTACACTTCTTAAATGCCATTGTATTGCAAGTGAGGGTTCCTGTTTTATCAGAAAATAAATATTTTACCTAAACAAAAAGTGAACATGAAAAAATCACATGTTTAAAATGTATTTACATATCAAAGACAAGTACTTTCTTTCTAAATTCTTAAAATATGTAAATTTTTTAGAAAGCAAGAAATGCAGTCCATAAGAATTCTACCTTAATATTTACATTGATTTTGAAAGTTATGCTCTTTGTTTTACACTTGAGGTAAAATTGAATAGTTATATGCAAAACAAACTTTAAGCATCAAACCAAAGAAAACCAGAAGCCAAGTTCATTTTCTTACCACAGAAATTTCATCAAAAGTATCTAGAAAACATTAAATAGATGAAAATGAAATACAAACTCTATGTCATTTTAATCATGGTCACAACTACAATGCTCATTTCTAAGAAGAAATGAAAATTCTGTTGAACTCTATATTCTCCTCTCCATCCAGTCCCTAGAAACCACTATTCAATTGTCTGTCTCTATGAATTTGACCTCAGACTTATAAATAGAATCATATAATCTCCTTTTTATGGCATATTTTACTTAGCATAAAGTCCTCAAGATTCATCCATGAGAGGCTAAGGATATATTTCAGTGGCAGAAAAATTGCCTAGCATGCGCAAAGCCATAGGTTCGATCTTCAGCACCAAACACACAAACCCGAAATCAGCCTTGTAGCAACATTTTATTCTTTTCAGGAGCTGAATAATACCCCATTGTATGGGTATACCACTTTGTTTATCCTTTCATCCATTGATGATCATTTTAGTTGTTTTCACCTTTTTGCTATTACAAATAATGATTTTATAAACATTGTTATACAATATATTTTCAAGCCCCTGCTTCCAAGATTTTTTGTACATACTCAAAAGTGGAATTTCTAGGTCATATGGTAATTCTATGCTTAGTATTTTGAGGATCAATCATACTGTTTTCCATCTTAGAAGTTGTACCATTTTACTGTTTTTCCAGCAAGGCACAAGGTTTGCAAAATTTCCACACCTCATCAGTATCTGTTCTTTATTGTTTTTCATTTTAATAAAATAATAGCCATAATAATGGTTATAAATAATATCTCATTGTGATTTTGATTTGCATTTACCTAAAGATTAATGATATTGAGTATCTTTTCAAGAGTCTATTGGCCATTTATATATCTTCTTTGGAGAAAGATCTATTCAAATCCTTTGTGCTTTTTTGAATTAGTTTATTTGTATTTTTTACTGTTGAGTTGTAGAAGTTTTTGTGTATCCTGAATATTAAGTTCTCTATTGCCCTTCTGTTTTCAATTTCATCATTTTGCTCTTTTCATTATGTTTTACCTACATAAATAATATGATTATTTTCAAAGCTTGAGTCCTAAAGCTTTATTTTATTAATGTTTTATTTAATTACTCTAAAAGACTGACATCAATTTTTATTAATGTTATATTTAATTATTACTCTAAAAGACTAGGCAAGATTGATGAAATGGTACTTTTCCGACTGCCAATTAAAAACACACTCTAAAATAAATAATCTGATTTTTATGAGGAGAAAAGATGCTAGAGGAGTTAATTATTGCAGACTCCTTCATTTTTAATTCTTCAATGTAAAAAATAAATAAAAGGATATTGGTGTAGTTCTCTGAACAGGAATTTCCAAGAGCCAAAATGCTTTTTAAATAAATATTTACTGACAACTCATTATTCAAATGATACCACACAATGTGATTATGAATTAAAAATTATATTTACCAAGTACGGTTTAATATGACTAGCATAAATTAAGTTCCTACCACACTCCAGGGACTATGCTGAGTGCCTTATATGCACATTATCCTATTCAGTTATTGCAATCTTATGACAAAGATGCTCTTATTACTCATTTTACATATTAGGAATCAAGACCAGGAAAGTCACACAAGAAGCCCAAATTACTCAGCTGATAGATGGTAGAGCCAGAATTCACACCCTTGAAGCTTAACATCCTCAATTAATTGAAATATGGGAAATTTCAATCTAGTAAAAACATATTAAGAAAAAAAGGTATTTAGAAAAATCAGAACTATAAGTCTTATTTCTTTTAGCTACAACAATGGGAGCTTACTTTTTAATTTACAGATATATATAAATAAGGAAGCTATGAACAGATTATGGGTGTGGCAAGTGTAGAATTTTGTAGCAACCTCTAAAATTTTATAGCAACTTTTGGCTGCTTTTTGTGGGTCATCTGCCTCATGAAGGGAGGGGAAGAAGGCGAGAGCTCTCCTCTGCAAGTTCCTGACTTTGAAAGCTAACTGCTGTTAGCCCACCTGAGAGCTAACATCAGCCTTCCCTTTCTTCCCTTTTAGCTTTTCACTCTTTCATAAACACATAATAACCTGTACTGGGTTTGTTCTCCTTCGACATGATGCAGTATATTTAAACATGATGTAGAATTATCAATATTTTGAACAAAATATGCCTATTCCTATTCCCAACTCCACATGTCAATTTGAACTGTACCCTGTTCTCACTGTGGCATTGAGATTTGCAAAAGCTCTCCCTAGAGTCTTCTATGAAGCTCCTATCACATTGCTCATTCCCTGAAAAGTCTCTCACCTGCCCAAGCTCTTCATTGAGGTTGGATGTTCTGGCCATCGCATACAGATTATTTTGTTCGTAATGCATATCTTCATCCTGCAAAAAAATGAAAAATACAGTCCAAACCAGAATTCGAATGAGGCTCAAAATTTCTTGTAGAAGGCTGACCCTGACATTGGTATTTCTATGTGACTAACATTTAAAAATAACCCATAATGGACAGTGTAGAATACTTAGATTAACCCAATAGGTTATCTTCTCTCAAACAACAGGAGAATCAATTTAGGAAAAGCAGAGGCACCTGTGTTGGTGAATAGGGATCAGAAGACTTGGCTTTCAAATTCTTGGCTCTGCCTCAGCCAACCTGCGTAAGTTGGTTAGCATGTCTGTCTCTCATCTCACAGCACTCTACAAAATTAAATGAGAATACACCTGGAAGCACTTTGTCTCACTTCTTGGCAGTTAAAATATTACTGTCTGGCTGGGGGTGTGTAGCTCAGTGGTGGAACCCTTACCTAGCATGATGAGATCCTGGGTTTGATGCCAGCACCACCAAAAGATAACATCAACAACAACAACAACAACAAAATGTTCTCCTGCAAATGATTGCCATCCAATGGCACAGTAAGAAAAAATTTTAATATGCAACATTTAGAAATAATTTTATTTCAAAGACAAATACCTAAAGGTAATAATTAAAAATTATACCCCCATTCAAACTGTTTAAATTAGTTTAGTCTCCAATTCGTTAAATATTAATGTCAATACATGACTGACAACCTAAAAAACTTTTAATTAATTTGAAGTGATTCTGGAATGATTGCCAAGAATCTATCATTCTGGCCATGATCTGTAAGCCTCTTTCACTGTTGAATATTTTGAATTTTATTGGATCAACTATCTTTCCATACTTGCTACTATCTCATAAACCTTTTTCAACAGTTAGAAAAAAAATGTATGAAAAAATGATGTCCTCAAGATTAACACAAAGGTCCCAGCATTACTGAGCCAGGTTGACACCAGTGCTTGTCTTTCTGTTGAAAGCGTCCCTGGCCCAGTGGCTATACTAGCCCTGTCACAAGGACTCAATGACATTAGTTCTTTGATATCAAATAAAAGCCATGGCTCAAGAGAGAATTTTTGTTTAGATTTAAGATTTTAATACTCACCCAGTTTATAAACTGGGCCTGAATGAATTTCACAGTTTCCAGAGTTAACAGCAGACTGATGGGAACAAGGTTATGGTACAAGATAATGAATACCAATATATCAAACACATGGTTGTGGGGGGTGATACCTGTGGAGAAAATCAGCAGAACTATGTCACAGCTTCAGACAATGGTTTCATTTATCCTCATTTGAATTACCACTTTATTAGAATTGTGGAATTTTTCCATGAAAATCATGATTAAAAGTGGACCCCAAAATGAATATTTTTATGAAAATTAATCAAATAGCAGCCATGCATGAGGAGTATGGGAAGCACTGAGATTCAAGATCCCCCTGCTCTCAGGGAGTTCAGGATGAGGCCTGAGGAAGAAAGCCGGGTCAGTGAAGATGGTGTGAGGAATTCCATGGTGGCACAGAAAATTGAGCATGGTGACAATGACATAAAGAAAAGGGCCAGCATCTCAGACAGGAACCTCTCAGAAAAGGAGATGAGCGGAGTTTGAAGGAGAAGGAAGTTTGCTAAAGGCAAGAGATACGAGGAAGGGAATGAGGAGGACATTGCAGCTGGAAGTAACAGTGGGTGTGAAGTCAGAGACAGACTTCACTTTAGTTAAGGAAACTAAAACATGTGCGTATAAATAGGTACCTTATATTATACTTTTTAAAATTCAACAAAAGTAGTGAAGGCCAAAAAAGAGGTAAATGGGAGGCTTTGTAAAATCTATACATATACTCATATTTCGAAGAGACGTTTGTGTGTTTGAGACAGTAATTTTCCAATAAGAAATTCAACCTAATTTCAAAGAAAGTGACTTTAAAATATTTAGAAGGTGTTCAGGGGATATGTACACACTGAATTATATATATGTTTTTCTGAAAACTTGCATCTCAATCTTATATTTTGTTTATATATCTGTGTTACATGGGGTATGGGGTATAACTGAAAAGAGATAGCCAAATCATTTTGTAGAAGTGTTACATTTTGCTGAACACAAATTCATATAATTGAATAAAATTAAATAATTATTTTAACTTGTAAGTTAAAAATCTTGTATTCTTTTTTTTTTCTTTTAGAGAAACATACTGGTAATGTAGGACAATTGGAGCAAAATCTAGATTTCTAAATTACATCAACTTGAAAGTAAGTCACATCTTTTCAAACTCTATGACCTCAAGTTTACTAACATTTCCTTATTTGCCATGATTATACTGTATATTTACCTTAGATTTGTAAATCAGTCATTTAAGAAAACTAGAGGTAGATATTTTACTATGACCATTTTATGGACAGAGAAACCAAGACAAAACTTTCAGTGTTTTGCCAAGTTTATTAATTATTGAAAATGCAGTTATAATTTTAATCCAACAAGTGTCCTCTTCTTTTGAACTAGAGTATCCTGGGCATATTGATACAGTCTGGAACCAATTCCAGGTTCTTTTTCCAAATATGCCACTCACTACATCTGTACTTTTTGGTTGCCATATGGAATCTCAGTTTCGCAGCAGTAAGTCAAGAAATTGGACTAGAACATTATAAAGTTCTATGTCAACTCAAAAATTATTTCTTATAGTTATTCAATTAATTATTGAGTCTCTGTTATAAAAAAAATGTTCTTGAAGTTAAGGGTACAATGATTCCTGTCCTCAAAAATGCATAATCTAGGGCTGAGGCTGTGGCTCACCGGTAGCACACTTGCCTGGAATGTGTGAGGCACTGGGTTCGATCCTCAGCATCACATATAAGTAAATTAAAAAAAAAAAAGTCCATTGATAACTAAAAAAAAATATTTTTAAAAAATTGCATAATCTAGAGAGAAGATGGCAGAGCAAATCTAGGCAGCAACTCTTGATCTGGCCATAGCCCAGAAAAACATGTAGTGAAAGACCAACTGATAAGAATGATGAGCAACAGAGTAAACACTCTAAAACTCAATATTGGACATCTTGAGATTTGGAGGGACTTGGAATTTGGTTACCAGAGCAGAAAATAAGGATAGAAGTCCTTGACCCAAAGAGACAAAGAAGAAAAGGAAAAGCCCATAAATTTACTTCCTTAACAAAGTTGGAAAGAAAATGAAACCAAGTCAAAATGGGACAGAAGCAGCAAAGAGTGAAGGGGATCACAGAGTGTGAGCTAAAAGTTGTGCTGGGGCAGGGCAATCATTCTGTAAAGTCCACAGCTAGCCAATCTCCCTAGAAGAAAGTAAACCAATACAGCTTCTCCTCACCTACAAATAAAACCACAGGGAAAGTTTCTGAATGGTCTTGTCACAGTAATCCATCTGGAAGTGCAGAGAGATCTTTATTAGTTGAATGCTGCCCAAACCCCTCCCCTTCACTGTGGACAAGGGAAGTGGAGTGGAACTGACCTGACAACAAATCACACCCAGGGAGTGCTAAACCCAACCCAGTGCTCCCCAACAGCCTCCACAGGAGTTGAGGCAAAGATGGGCTGACACCCTAACCCCATCACACTGATAGGTAAAATGCCAGTGATCTGCCTCAGTCGTGGTGGAAGCTTCCACGCCAGTATGTCCACAGAAAGTCCGCACCCAAAGGATCCACATTGCAGACAATTGCCAAGTGCTTGGCTATAGCCACTACAAAAAAAGTCCAAGCAGAGGGGAGTGGGCACTCAGCAAATCCAAAACTGCCAGCCATGTAGGAGTTCAGAAAAATGACGGTCAACTGTCACTCTCCCCAAGTCACAGGAAAGGTATCCCAGTGATCTCCATCATCCAAGTGGAGGCTTTTAACCCACAGGCCACCTACAGAGAGCCTTCATCCACAGGCCCCACAATTGTAGTCAGAACCCCACCCCCGTTGTGTGTTAGCTTCCATATATCAGAGAGAACATTTGACCTTTATTTTTGTGAGACTGGCTTATTTCACTTAGCATGATAGGCTCCAGATCCAACCATTTACTGGCAAAATGACATAAAGTCATTCTTATTTATGGCTGAGTAATATTCTCTAGAGTATATATACCCAGTTTTCTTTACCCACTCATCTGTTGAAAGACACCTAGTTTAGTTCCATAGCTTAGCTATTGTTACTTGAGCTGCTATAAACATTGATGTAGCTGCATCACTGTAGTATACATGTATACCTTCAGATTTATACCAAGGAGTGATACAACCAAGGTCAAATAGTGGTTTCATATTTAATTTTTTGAGGAATCTCCATTTTGCTTTCCAGAGTGGTCCCACCAATTTCAGTCCCACCCGCAATGTGTGAGTGTGCCCTTTTTTCCACATCCTCATCAACATTTATTGTTGTATTCTTGATTGTTGTCATTCAGACTGGAATCAGATGAAATCTCACTTAATTTGCATTTTCAAGTTGAACATTCTTTCATATATTTGTTGAGCATTTGTATCTCCCCTTCTGTGAAGTGTCTGTTCAGGAGAGGCACTTGGGTCTGAATTAGAACAAGATATATTCCATGCTTGTATAATTATGTCAAAATGTATTCTACTGTCTTGTATAAATAAAAAGAACCAATAAAATAAATAAATGGAACAAAAAGTGTGGGGATTTCTATGAAAAAAGAAGAGCAAACTATGGAGTAAAAAAAAGATTGAGGTGAAGGGAGAAGGAATGGGGAAAGGGGGCACAGTGGAATGAAATTGACCAAATTATGCTATGTACATTGAATATAACACAGTGGATTTCATCATTGTGTATATCTATAAAGCATTAATTAAAAAACAATAAATTGGGCTGGAGCACTCAGTGGTAGAGTGCTCAGTGGTGGAGCACTTGCCTAGCATGTGTGAGGCTCTGAGTTCGATTCTCAGCACCACATATAAATACATACATAAAATAACGGTATATCAACAACTAAACATATTTTAAAAAATAAATAACTAGGAGAAAGATCAGGAGCATAGAGGAAGGGAAACAGGAAGAGTAAAGAGGGCAGTGAAGAGAGACTACTAGGGACTAAAATAAAGCAAATTATATTCCATGCATGTTTAGCTACGTCAAAATGAACCTCACTATTGTGTATAACTATAATGTACTAATGAAAACATTTTTAAAAGACATACATAAAAATCCACAATCTAGAGTTGGGGGGCAAATAAACAATAATCATGAAACATGGAAATGGAATGAATTCTATTATGTATATTATAATAGAACCAAATAGAACTCCTAAGTAAAAAGTCTGAGAGAAGTAAGTCATGAAATGCCACAGGAGAAGATACTGCCTCATCTTGGCCTAATTGAGCAGTGTTAGGTGTTTAGGTGAAAGGGACCAGAGGTGAATTTGAGGCCCAAAGGAGCATTGGACAAAAGGCCTAGAGGTATCAACAGCCAGTTAATGTAAGGTTCCTGCAAGATACCAAAAAGCAAGCAGTACTTTGTTAATGGAGATTAGGTCCTGAGGAGGAAGTAGGAGTATATTATACCATAGGAATGGATGAGGTAATAAAGGTCCTGGTATTGGCATAATGGAGGAGGCTTAACTTGACCCTGTATGCCAGGAAGCAGGAAATATTTTTAGTAACAGCTACAGGATCTCCTTTGCAACTACTCAGCTCTGCCACTGTGACATTAAAACAGCCTCAGACAACACAAAAACAAGTAGGCATGGCTATGTCAATAAAACCACTCACAAGTACAAGCAATGGGCCATTAAGCAGTGATATGCCAATCCAGTGTAGGCAATAGAATGCCACTGAAGTAAGTGTCACGTGTGCATAACTACTTTTTATATGGACACTATAGTGACCAGGAAATAGAAACAATAAGAGTCCTCTCCTCTTTCAAGAAGTCTGCAGAGGGCTGGGGCTGTAGCTCAGTGGTAGAGTGCCTGACTTGCACATATGAGGCACTAGGTTCGATCCTCAGAACCACATAAAAATAAATAAAGATATCGTGTCCACCTACAACTAAAAAAATGTATTATGAAAACAAACAAACAAACAAAAAAAAGAAGTCTGACAGAAAAGGGAAGAGGAGGTTATTTATATGGCATACCAACCTTGACAAATTTTATAGAAACCAAAATATCAGTAACTTTTGTTCAGTTTCAACATAAACTTTTTTTTTATGTCCAAAATAAGATGATGTCATAGTTTGGATGTAGCGTGTCCACCAAAAGCCCGTATGTTAAAGGCCTAAGGGTGAACTTTTTGGTTAATGGTGGAAACATTAAAGGTGGGGGGTACTGACGGGAAGTTCTTAGGTCATTGGATACATACCTCCAAGGGGAACTGTGGGACCCCTAGTCCCCTCCATCATCTCTTTGCTCCCTGTCTCTGAATGTAAGCAGCTTTGCTCTACCATGAAATGCTACCTTAAAACAACAAAGCCAACTGGAACCACTAAAACAGTGAGCCAAAATAAACCTTTTCTCTTTACATGTTAATTATTTGGGGAATTTTATTACAGTAATGGAAAGCTGACTAATACAGATAATATTAACACTCTTGTGTTAGAGCAAATTGAAGAAGGAAATTTAAATCCAGATTGCCTTTTGAAAGTAATCTAAAATCTACAACACTGAAAAGCAAAACTGGACAGGGAACATCTGGAAATCCCCATGGCATAAGAATAAACCTGTCTCAGGTTTTGATGCTATCTACAGAGATTATAACAGTTTATTTATTCCTAAAATGCTCCCAAACAGGTCTACATAAGGGAGGTTAAAATAGTTCAAGATCCTCAAAGACAGATTATAAAAGCCAGAAAGTATATAATGCTTTACTCTGAAACATAGAAATACATTAATTTTTAAAAATGCTGAACTTTTAATGCCATATACTAGTTCATTTTAGGACTGTAGAACGAATCAGACACGCTTTTCCTATGTTCATATATGAATACATGACCAGTGTAACTCCACATCATGTACAACCACAAGAATGAGTACTCCATGTATGTATGATATGTCAAAATACATTCTACTGTCATGTATAACTAAAAAGAACAAATTTAAAAATTTTAAAAATACTTTACTTACAGCAAATTGATTTAATAAATGAATCCCCCCCCATTCAATGCCCACTGTCCTCATTTTCTCATCAATGTACATCACACACAAAACTGTATTAACCTGATGAGGTAGGTATCATTCCCAATTTCAAATGAGGGAAGCAAGGCCTAGTGAAGGAAAAGCCTCATCAAAATTCTTATAGTCACTAAGTGTTAGAGCTAAAGACTTGGACCCTTGTGTGTCTGGCTCACATTCTTGTGCTTCTTCCCTGAGTCCTGTCTCTCTCCTGTATTTTGGAATGCCATAACTATGTGTAATTGTCATAATAATTTTTAAACAATCTTAAGCCATATGTCCCATAATTGACTAATATTGACAATATATAGAGAATTCAAAAACCCAACAGCAAGAAAGCAACCCAATTAAAATATGGACAAAGGCCATAAACAGACATTTCTCAAAAGAAGACATAGGTATGTGAAAAAATCCTCAATATCACTAATGATCAGGAAAATGTAAATTAAAACCACAATGAGTTTGCATACTACATCTGGTAGAATGACTTTTATAAAAGAATAGCAAGTAGTATCAAGGAATGATAGAAAAGGGAACCCTTGTACACCATTAGGGGGTATGTAAATCAGCACAACCATTTTGGAAAATACTATGGTGTTTCCTCAAAATATTAAAACTAGAGCTATCATATGATCAAACAGTTCCTCCACTGGGTATATATTCAAAGGAAAGGAATTAATGTGTGAAAGAGATAAGGCACTCTTGCGTTTCTTGCAGTAGAGTTACAAAAGCCAGGGTACAGCATCAACCTAAGTGTCCTTCAAGCAAAGAATTGATAAAGAAAATATGAGACACACACACACACACACACTCACACACACATACACACCCCGCACAGGAGAAATACTATTTGGCCTTAAAATATAAAGCAATATTGTCATTTGTAAAAACATTGATGAAATTGAAGGCTATTGTGTTAAATGAAATAAGTCAATCACAAAAGGGCAAATACTGCAGCACTCTTATGTTTAGAATCTAAAATGTCAGTCATTGACATAGAGAGTAGAATGGTGGTTTCCAGGGTCTGGGAGATAGGGAGAATGACATAATGGAGGTCTGTGTTAAAGAGTATAAAGTTTCAGTTAAACAGGAGAAACAAGTTCTAGAGATTGATTGTACAGTGATGACTATCATTAATACTAATGCACTGTGTATTTGAAAATTGCCAAAAGAGAAGCTTTTAAATGTTTTCAGAATAAGAAAATAGTATGTGAGGTTAAGGATATAAAAGTTAGCTTAATTACATTATTCTACAATGTATACATGTCAAAAATCATATTGCACTGCATATATAAAGGCAATTATTTCTCAATTAAAAGTAAAGCTTTAAAAAATAAATAAAGATTTAAAATTTTTAAGAAGGGAACATTGTTTCTAGTACTAATTTACAATCACTTTCTCAAAAAAAAAAAATGACACCAGCCAAAATTGTTAGAATAAGTATCCTCCCTTTTAAACAAAAGCAGGGAAACAAGTCTTTAAAGTCCCTATTTTAAAAGCATAACTTCCCAAAGTGGCAGCTTCTTGAACTCTTAAACACTTACCACTAATTCCCATGTACCAAATGTTTTCCAGGTACATTTTGTTCCAAATTGTGGCTCCCACACAGCTCACTGCAGATATCACAAAGAGTAGTAGCAACAAAATGAGGATCTGCATGTTGGTTACTTTCTCAACCTGTGATCTCTTGAGAGGTGATTTGACGGAATTCTGCACAATAGCACATTTATTCATGTTCACACAGCATGCACACATGCACATATATCCAAAGAACAAAATATACACACATACACAAACACAAACATACACACACATACAGAATTGTACTGTAAAAACAAGATAATTGCAATTTGGTAATAAATATCTGGTAAGAAATAATTTTGAAAAGCTGAAGAAATATCTAAAATGAGAGGTATAATATGAACCTGCCTTTAAATTTCAGAGTAATAAAGAGGAATGAGCCTCCTGAATTCAAAAGATATATACTAAACTCCCTCACTTAATATAATCAGAAGGAAACATCCAGAATCAGAAAATTTGTCATCACAGACTATTTTACCTGCATCAATTTGGTTTCAAATCCAGTGTAAATGACTACACCAATGATCCACTGTGTATTTTTCAGCTGTGTACCTCTCAGCAACATCTGGTCAGGACCAACTGAAATAGGACTAAAAATAAGAAAGAACATTTATAAAGTACCAAAGAAGTCCTTTTCTCACAGTGTGATAAAAAAGCATAGGCCTTGTTATGGTTTGGATAGAAGGTGTTCCCCCAAAGCTCCTATGTTAATGCAGGAATGTTCAGAGGTGAAATTATTGGATCGTGAGAATTGTAGCCTGATACATCTGAGTTTGAATAGACTGGGTAGTAACTGTTGTTGGGTGGGGTATGGTTGGATGTAGGTATTCTGACCATGGAAATAGACAGGGGAGCATTCCCCCAGTGAGCAAACTCCCAGGGGGTAACTGGAGCCCTGATTCCCAGGATTGGAATGCCCAGCCTCCTCCCTGTGAGGTAATAAGACAATTATGCAGGCACTACCTGGTTTCCTTAACCATGTCCTTGGAGAGAAGGGGCTCTGTGTTTGTATTAACCTGGACCTTATCTCAGTTAGCTGGCACTCGGGTTAAAGAAACACTAATTAGAACATAGTCATGGTAACAGGAGGTATGTGTTCTTTGAGTTCACTTCTGCACTTCTTCTTCACCACTTCACTCCTCTCTGCTCCTCCTGTCTGTCTGCTGTGTCTGTCTGTTCTTTTGTGCTCCTCCTCACAGGTTTTCTCCACAGGTGATCCTTTACAGTTGGAGAAGGTGGGTCACTGAAGGTGTACCCCAAAAGGGCTCATCTTCCCTGTGGTCTCTCTCTCTCTCTCTCTCTCTCTCTCTCTCTCTCTCTCTCTCTCTCTCTCTCTCTCTCCCCCCTTCCTGACCATGCCATGAACTGAGATGCTTTCCTGCCCTAGAACCTCACCCTGTGATGCACAGCTTCACCTTAGGCCCCAAGCAATGGAGTTGGCCATATTTGAACTGAGGCCTTTGAAACCATAAACCCCCAACAAACTTTCCTTCCTCTAAATTGTTCTTGACTGATATCTGGCTTCAGTGACACAGAATTTAAAACCAGCCTCCACCTTACATATATTTCTTTTTGGCAACTTCAACTCTGGAAGCAAATGACAATAAAATAGATGTTTCTTTATATAGTCACCTATTTCTAAAAGAGCATGAAAATAATTTTTCTTTGGTGTCTACCGCTCACCATTCCAAAGTCATGATGATCATAAATTTTAGATAGAGACTATCTCTTATGCCTAGAGTGCTTATAAAATTTGGAAAAATAACAGACCCAGAACAGCTAAAGCAATTCTAAGCAGGAAGAATGAAACAGGTGGTATCACTATACTAGACCTTAAACTATACTACAGAGAAATAGTAACAAAAAGAGCAAGGTACTGGCACCAAAACAGGTTGGTAGACCAATGGTACAGAATAGAGGACACAGAGACTAACCCACAAAATTACAACTATCTTATAGTAGACAAAGGTGCTGAAGCATGCACTGGAGAAAGAATAGCATCTTCAACAAATGGTACTGCGGAAACCTGGAAATCCATATGCAACAAAATGAAACTGAATCCCCATTTCTCACCATGCACAAAAGTTAACTCAAAATGGGTCAAGGACCTAGGAATTAAACCAGAGACTCTTCATCTAATAGAAGAAAAAGTAGGCCCTAATCTTCATCATGTGGGGTTAGGCCCCAACTTCCTTAATAAGACTCCTATAGCGCAAGAATTAAAAGCAAGCATCAACTAATGGGATGGATGCAAACTAAAAAGTTTCTTCTCAGCAAAAGAAATAATCTGTGAGGTGAACAGAGAGCCTACATCCTGGGAACAAATTTTTACCCCTCACACATCAGACTGAGCTCTAATATCTAGGGTATATAAAGAGCTCAACAAGATAAGCACCAAAAAAAGCAAATAATCCAATCAATAAATGGGCCTGAGACCTGAACAGACACTTCTCAGAAGAGGATATACAATCATTCAACAAATACACGAAAAAATACTCATCATCTCTAGCAATCAGAGAAATACAAATCAAAACTACTCTAAGATATCATCTCACCCAAGTAAGAATGGCAGCCATTATGAAGACAAACAACAACAGGAATTGGCAAGGATGTGGGGAAAAAAGGTACACTCATACATTGCTGGTGGGAGTGCAAATTAGTGCGGCCAATTTGGAAAGCAGTATGGAGATTCCTTACTGATAAGCTGGGAATGGAACCACTATTTGACCCAGCTATTCCTCTTCTTGCACTATACCCAAGGGACCTAAAAACAGCATACTACAGTGACACAGCCACATCAATGTTTATAGCAGCACAATTCACAATAGCTAAACTGTGGAGCCAGCCTAGATGTCCTTCAGTGGATGAATGGATAAAAAAAAATGTGGCATTTATACACAATGGAATATTACTCTGCACTAAAAATGAATAAGATCATGGCATTTGCGGGGAAATGAATGGCATTAGAGAAGATTATGCTAAGTGAAGTTAGCCAATCCCAAAAAAATGCTGAATGTTTTCTCTGATATGGGGGGGGGGTGACTCAAAGTGGGGTAGGGAGGGAGAGCATGGGTGAAAATTACCTCTAGATAGGGAATAGGGGTGGGAAGGAAAGGGAGGGAGAAGGGGATAGTGGAAAAAGACGATCATCATTATACAAAATTCATGTATGAAGATGTGAATTTGATGTCAACATATCATATATACAAACAGAGATTTGATAAATTGTGGTATAAAGGTGTATTAAGAATTGTAGGGCTCAGGGCTGCGGAGCCCGCGGAGGCTGCTTCTTGGACCCTGCTACTATCAGAGCATACACCAAACACTAAGCGGCCGAATTCCGGCTCCCGGAACTGAGCCCGCGGGGGCTGCTTCTTGGAGCCTACACTTATAGGAGCTTACACCGAGCACGGAGCGGCCGAGTTCCGGCTCCCGGAACTTCCCTGGACCGGGGCTAGGAGCCCGCGGAAACTGTGTCTCGGTCCGGGTCCTGCTGAGGGCAGGTCAGGACTCACCCATTGCTTGGGTTGCCCGGCAAGGGGAACGAAATGCTGCCATTCGCATAGGATACCAACATGGCAGAGATCTGATGTCAGCAGAAAGCGGTGGAGGAGAGATCTTCATCAATACCAGCGGTGACATAAGCAGTTGGTCTCCTGGTAAGGGGGGTGAGGCTCAGTCACCCGAGTCTCCTCAATTTGTCCTCGAGCCGGAGGGAAGGAGCCGGGCCGCCGCCAGCCCCCGGAGCAGGCCCAGCGGCTCGCCAGCGTGGTGACCGCGTGACCCCAATTGGAGAGGGGGCGGAGCGGAGCCGCCACCCACACCCGCCAGGTGGGCAGACCCACGACCCAGTAGTACATGGGCGTGGTAGGAGGGGCAGGGCAGAGCCGCCCTTCGCGCTTGCAAGGTAAACAGACCTGTGACAGCCTGGCGGGTCAGGCCCAGTGGCCTGCCAGTGTGGTACACACGTCACCCCAACTCGAGTAGGGGCAGAGCAGATCCTTATCCCACGCCCGGATCAGGCCCTGCCGGTGTGGTGGTCACGTGACCCCAATTGGAGTGGGGGTGGAGCGGAACCGCCACCCGTGCCCGCAGGGTGAGCAGACCAGTGATCAACCTGCAGATCAGGCCCAGGGGTCCGCAGGCATGGTAGGAGGGGCAGGGAAGATCCCCCGCCCGCGCCTTCAAGGTAGGCAGACCTACAACAGACCGGCGGATCAGGCCCAGGAGCCTGCCGGCGGGGTACAAACACCACCCTAATTGGAGTAGTGACAGAGCAGAGTCGCCTCCCTTGCCAGGAACAGACCCAGCATCCTGCAGGCGGGGTAGTCACGACACCCCAATTGGAGTAGGGGCAAAGCAGAGCCTCCACTCGTGCCCGAAAGGTGGGCAGATCTGCGACCGACCAGCAGGACAGGCCCAGTGGCCTGCTGGTACGACAGACACGTCACCCCAATTGGAGTAGGGGCAGAACAGAGCCGCCACCAGCTCCCAGAACAGGCCCAGTGACCTGCCGGCGTGGTAGCCACGACACCCCAATTGGAATAAGGAGAGAGCAGAGCCGCCGCCCGCACCTGCAGGAAAGATACGCAAGCAGTATGAAAAGACAAGGAAAGAAAGGACCACAAGCAATGCAGGTCAACGCAACTTTAGAAGAGGTAACAGCTGCAGCAGATGGAATGTCAGATAAAGAATTCAGGATATACATGCTTCAGATGATCTGGAGTATCAAGGAAGACATTAAACAGCAAAATCAGACAATGAAAGATCACTTCGACAACGAATTACGCAAACAAATCCAGGAAGCAAAGGATCAACTATACAGGGAGATAGAGGTTATAAAAAACAAGCAATCAGAAATCCTAGAAATGCAGGAAGCAATAAACCAACTTAAAAACTCAATGGAGAATACTACCAACAGAGTAGAACACTTAGAAGATAGAACATCAGACAATGAAGACAAAGTATTTCAACTGGAAAAGAACATAGACAGCTCAGCAAGACTGTTAAGAAACCATGAGCAGAACATCCAAGAAATATGGGATAACATTAAGAGACCAAACTTAAGAGTCATTGGGATACAGGAAGGTACAGAGCTCCAAACCAAAGGAATGAGCAGTCTATTCCATGAAATAATACAAGAAAACTTCCCAGACTTGAAGAATGAGACAGAATCCCAAATCCTAGAAGCCTACAGGACGCCGAATGTGCAAAATCATAAGAGATCCACACCTAGACACATTATAATGAAGATGCCCAACATACAGAATAAGGAGAGAATTTTAAAAGCTACAAGAGAAAGGAAGCAGATTACATTTAGGGGCAAGCCAATCAGGATAACAGCTGATCTTTCAACACAGACTCTGAAAGCGAGAAGATCCTGGAATAACATATTTCAAACACTGAAAGATAATGGGTTCCAACCAAGAATTGTGTATCCAGCGAAATTAAGCTTCAGGATGGAGAATGAAATTAAAACCTTCCACGATAAACAAAAGTTTAAAGAATTCGCAGCTAGAAAACCATCTCTTCAAAACATCCTAGCCAAAGTATTACAGGAAGAGGAAATGGAAAATAACAATGAAAACCA